TCCATGAAGGCAGGAATTTTTTTTTTGTTTTTTTTGTTTGTTTGCGGTACGCGGGCCTCTCACTGTTGTGGCCTCTCCCGTTGCGGAGCACAGGCTCCGGACGCGCAGGCTCAGTGGCCATGGCTCACGGGCCCAGCCGCTCCGCGGCATGTGGGATCTTCCCGGACTGGGGCACGAACCCATGTCCTCTGCATCGGCAGGCGGACTCTCAACCACTGCACCACCAGAGAAGCCCAAAGGCAGGAATTTTACCTCTTTTTTCCCTATTGTATCTTCAGTCCCTAGAATAGTGCCTAGTACATGGTAGGTGCTTAATAAGTATTTGTAGAATGGATCAGTGAATGAAGTCCGTGTTCTCTCTGTAGGCAAATCTATGTAGGAAGTCAAACTTAAAAGATTGCTTACTAAATATGGAATATGAGTCATAAGATGTATCGTATTAATGGCTCGTGTCATCAATATGATAACATGATGTGTTCATTTTCACTAAAAGATACATCTGCTCCACAGACAGGAAACTTCTATTTAAGAGTCAAAAAATGCTCTTCCATGTACAGTGTAGGAGAGACTGCTAGTATTTACCTCTTGAATCTTCCTTTTTTTTTCCTCTTTGGATTAAAAAATGTGTAAAAACAAGGAAAAATCACAAAATACAAATATATAAAGTAGAAAATAAAAACCACTCTTCAACCCAGCCAGAGACAAGTCACTGTTAAGACCTTGATTATTGTCCTTTAGAACCATCTGAGATGAACTTATATTTTGTTAATAATATTTGGATCATATAGTAAAATAAATGTTTAAAGTACTAACTAACTGGACAGAGTATAGAAATAATAAATAGTATGAAAGTAGTTTATGAACTCCTTAAATATTTAATATTCTGTCTTTTGTGATTTGTAGCACGAGCTCTTATCCTGGCACAGTATTGTCTAGTGCAGAATTTATCATATATTCAGAATTTTCAAATGTTTTTGATTATTTGAATATGAACAAGAAAAGCTTGGGCAGTTAGGAGTGTTGCTCTAAATAAGAGAGATCTTAAACTCCTTTTTTTTTCTCCTCACACTAGAAATGTTTTGTTAATTGCATTTAATAGGACATTTTGGATTAGTTCCAAAAATATTTTAGATTTTCCTGGAAACTGTCTTTTATTAATTATAAACTTCCTGAAGTTTTTTAGATCTTTTTCATTAGACTGAAGAAAATTCAAAGTTCCTAAGAGAAAATGTTTTGCATGAGTCCTTTAAAATGTATACGTGGATTTTGGGGAAAATCTAAAGTTTCAAATTTAACTCAATAATATATATAATTTACTTGTGAGTTTATTGTATTTCATGGACTAAAATAAAATTTAAAAATCATGTTACTTTTGTGTGCTGATGCTGTTAAAAACTTAAATCACATTTCCTGAGTTTTAAGCATTTTCAAAACTTTTCGTCATTACTAGATTGTGAGAAAGAAGTATTAGTGTTATTAGATGACACTCTTCTTAATGTATCAGTGTTAACATGATTTCCTGACTTTGCAGAGTGTTGTATTGCTGGAGGATAATTTTCGGGAGAGAATATATACTCAAAATAATTCAGTTATTATATGGTGACTTATATAAATCAAAAAAGGATTTAGGATTTAACTTAATTTGAGTCTAGATAATTATATTCCCTGCTTTTTAAAAACACTTATTTTTTAGTTTAATATTAGATAGTCATATGTAAGTTCCTGTCCTAAGATATTGGTAATTCATCTGCTTCTGTGTTCAGAGGTGTCAAACTGGCATCCTGAACACTGAAAAAAGCCCACAGATACGTTCGATAACACAGTGTTTTGTTCTGTTTCAACCTAAAAATTAGTTGTTAGTATTTGAACATTAGAAGATTTTATATGAAAATATAAATTTCCAACTTCTTTTGACAAGCATGAGAATTGGACAATATTGAGCTTTCTCGTCCCAACATTGCTGTGATTCTCAACCAGGGGCAATTTTGGCAGTGTTACAAAAAAGGACATTTGTCAATGTCTAGAGATAGTTTTGATTGTCATGACTTGGTGGGGAGGTGCTATTGGCATCTTATGGGTAAAGGCCGGGGATGCTGCTTATGCACAGGACAGCCTCCTACAGCAAAGAATTATCTGGTCCGAAGTATTTCAGTATTGAAGTTGAGAAGTCCTGTAGTGTAGCAATAATTGACCTGAGTTGAATCATATCTGTTCCGAATAGGCTGAAGTTAGCCAGTCTCCTCCCAACTTGCTTTATTTACTTGCTGGGACTCTATACACTTTTGAATTTGTGCATATTTCTTTAAAGTAGTGGGATTTACTTTCATGGGAACTGAAACAACTTCAAGTATTATTAGAAAAGTTGCGGCAAATACAAAAAACATTTATTACTTCTGGCCTGAAGAGTATTAGAATCCAAGTTTTATTTTCCCCAGTTATCATCATTTATTCTTTCAGTTGAACATGGTTCTGTGTACTAAGCACTATACTAGATATGGAGGAGATGAGCAGCTGCTTACACTTTAAGGATTATTATGTCTTGGAGATATGTTCTGTTTACCATTATGTAATGCTTTCTATATCTCTGATAATTTTCCTTGCTTTGAAGTTGACTTTGTCTGAAATCTATGTAGCTACTTCAGCTTTCTTTTGATTAACATTAGCATTGTATTTCTTTCTCCATCCCTTTATTTTTAATCCACTGTGTCTGTAAAGTAGGTTTTTCGAAGACAGTACTATTTAGTTGGGTTTCGTTTTTTAATCCACTTTGATAGTCTCTGTCTTTTTTTTGGTGCATTCACATTCACATTTAAAGTGTTTATTGATTTAGTTGGCTTTTTTAAAATTAATTTTTATTGGAGTATAGTGGCTTTATAATATCAACTATATTTGGAACTGTTTTCTGTTAGTTGAACTTGTTCTTTTTTTTTTTGTCTTTCACCATTTTTCTGCATTATCTGGGTTTAATTGAGCATTTTGTATTATTTCATTTTCTCTCTCCTTAACATATCATTTATACTTGTTTTAATTTTTTTTGTTTGTATGTATGTATGTGTGTGATTGCCCTGGAGTTTGCAGTATGGATTTACAGCTAACATAAGTCCACCTTCAAACAACACTGTACCATTCAGGGGTAGTGTGGGTACCTTATAACAGAATATTCCCAGTTCCTCCCTCCTGTCCCTTGTAACACTGCTGTCATTCATTTCATTTATCCTTAATCTATAATCACCTGCTATATTGTTGCTGTTAATACTTTGAACAAACTGTTATCTGTTAGATTAAGAATAAGAAAATAAAAGATTTTATTTTGTCTTTATTTATTACTTCTCTAAAGTTCTTCCTTTCTTTATGTAGATCTGAGCTTCTGACCTATATCATTTTCCTTCTTTCTGAAGAACTTATTTTAATATTTCTTGCAAGACAGGTCTGCTGGCAACAAATTCCCTCAATATCTGTTTGTCTGAGAAAGTCTTTATTTCTCCTTTACTTTGAAGGATAATTTCATTGGATATAGACTTTAGGTTGGTGATTTCATTTTTTCTCTCAACACTTTAAATATTTCATTCCGTTCTCTTGTTGCTTGCATGGTTACTGAAGAGAAGTCCAATGTGTTCTTATCCTTATTCCTATATAGGTAAGGTGTTTTTTTTCCCCCCTCTATCTTCTTTCAGAAATTTCTCTTTGTCTTTGATTATCTGTATATGATTTTGAATATGATATGCCTAAGTGACAATAGGAGGGAACTTTTATCTTCACCCTGAGAACCTGGGGTGGGCCTCCTGGATGTAAAGCACAAGGATTCCAATTTCTCCACATCCTTGCCAACATTTGTTTTGTTTGTTTGTTTTCTTTGTTTTTTTGTTTGTTTGTTTTGATTGTAGCCATCTTCATGGGTATGAAGTGGTATCTCATCGTATTGATTTGCATTTTTTAATGATTAGTGATGTTGAGCATCTTTTCATGTGTTTATTGGCCATTTGCGTATCTTTGGAGAAATGTCTGTTCCAGTTCTTTGTCCACTTTTAAATTGGGTGGTTTGTTTTTTTGTTGTTGAATTATGGGAGTTCTTTATACATTCTGGATAATTAATCCCTTAGCAGATATGTGATTTGTAAATATTTCCTCCTATTCTGTGGGTTGTCTTTTCATTCTCTTGATAGTGTCCTTTGATACATGTAAGTGTTAAATTTTGATGAAATCCAATTTACTTTCTCTTTTGTTGCTTATGTTTGTAATATGTGGCTTAATAATATGCCCTACACCCATTTTTCAGTTTTATGCACTTCATTTGCTTATCTTACTTTTTCAGTATTTCCAACCTCTGCCAAAAAAAAAAAAGGAAAATCATGAGAGAGCCAATATAACTTTTATAAATAAGTTTTTGAAGACAGAAAAACACTAAGAATAATCTGAATTGCCAAATACAGTCCTTTCAACCAGAATGAGGAGAAAAATACCTTATTTTCTATCCTTTTGGAGTACTATTAAATTGAGAAGCAGTTTTGATTTATAAATCTCAGTTTACATATTTATATAACATCAGAACATATGCTTATTTGAAAGCATACATATTTTGAGGTAAAGGTGACCCTCAAGTTAAACTCAAGATGTATCTGATATTATTGTGTTGAATTTGGTTTAAAAAATTAGTAAGCTCTTTTTGAAGTAATGGAATATACAAATGTAAATGTGGTTAAATTGGTTACTTAAGTTAAAAAAATATATAATATTGGTTGGTAATGATTTACAACCAACATTTTAACATTATCAGATGTCATTTTCCTTTTTTCTTTAGGTATAATTGACATATAACCTTATATTAGCTTCATAATTCAGTATTTGTAAAATGTCAATTTCAAATAACAGCTTCAAATTTTGTGTTTGACTTTTACTTTTTCAGAAAAAGTATAGTTATGATATAGAAAATGTTTTTTCTTTCATTATTTAATATATTCTTTAAAAATTCTTATTAAATTTTTATGTTGGTCAATTTACAGGTGAATTATGTAACCTCATTACGCTGGATGTAGCTCACAATCAACTTGAACACCTTCCAAAGGAGATTGGAAACTGCACACAGATAACCAACCTTGACTTGCAGCACAATGAATTGCTAGACCTCCCAGATACTATAGGTATGAGAGGAGAAAGAAGATACTGTTCATCATTTATAGCTACTTGGACATTAAAATCCATTTTGATAATAAAAAATTAAAATTCAGTGTTGTCAAAGTGGTAAAACTTCTAAAAGACAGTATTTTAAAATCATTTTTTAATTTCCATTTCCAGGCAAAGAAAATAACTAAATTTTAGGAAATGATCTCAATTAAATTGTAAAGAAGACAGAATATTGAGTAATATGTATATGTTCTATAAATCTGCTTAAATTGCAGAATGGGTGCATTTTCTGTTTTTGTTTATTTCAGAATGTTGCATGCTCTTGTATAGGGTGCGGTCCCTTCTTTGCTAAAATAGACCACACTGAAAAATAAAATCATTGCTGTTTAGTTTTTAAAACATGGCCAGTATATTTTAAAGTTTGTTCATCTTAATATTGAGGGACTAAAAGATGTCTCAGAGTGCAAAATGTGTTTTGAAAGTGCATAGCCAAAGAACAGAAAGTTGGATTGCACTTACTCTGATGTGTTCCATATTTATATATTCTTGTTTCTTTTTCTAAATGACCCCAAATTTATACAAACAGTAGAGGGAATTTTTACATTAAAAAAAATTACTCTATACTAAGTTTATATAATTTTGGTAATGAATATTTACAAGGTTCTCTTACTAAATCATTTGAGGCCTGTGATAATGTTATCTTTCTCCAGAAGGATTTTTGTTTGCTTCTCTCAGGTACCTAGGGTGACCACTTTATTCCATCTGTGTTCTAAGGTTTGTGATTTTTCTGGTCCCCCAAGTGATTCAGAGACAAGCGGCAGACTAATTGGAGGGTTGTTTTAATTCCGGTTTACCCCTTGTACTAGGGTGCAGCCCTGTAGGGTCTCAGTTGATATTGATTACTAGACTCCCCACCCTTGGCAGGCTCTAGATTTTGACTTTTGGTGGAAACATGCCTTAGCCTTTCAGCTGCATCTTCTAGCTAGGAAAGCACTCTCGGGACAAAATCTTCTCCAGTGTTCTGCTTGTTTCTGGGTTCCCAGCTGGTTTCCAGCCTGGTTACTAGTCATTATCTTGTTAGCTTTCTGGTTTTTGTTTTAGAAGTGTTTTTAGTTTTCTTCAATGGGAGGGTTGCTTGAATTATCTAGTCTACCACTACTTGAAACAGAAGCAGTTGTTATGGAATTTTTTAATAAGTTACAATAGACTGTCTTTGGTTAGATGACACCTGTTCACAGAAGAGTAATCTGAGACTTCTTCAGGATATAATAGCTAGCCATTAGAACCTATATCTTTCTGATTCTTGTCCCCTAGAGTCTAGAACAGACAGAAAAATACCAAATAAATACAAAATAAATGAAAAAAAAGTCATGGAAGACAGGACTAGAAGTTCTAGAAAGAGAATAGAGTAAGACAATGAAGAAGCTATAAAATATAATTTAATATTTCCCTGAACTTGACAAAAACCCAGATAATAAGATTGAAATTGCTTACCAAGAAGAAATAATGAAAAAACATACATTCTGGTAGAAGTTTTAAAAATTAGATTTACTTAATTAATTTTAACAAACAATATATTCATACATAATGTTATAAAACCTGTTTTTGTCTAGTTTCAGTTTCAGGGTAATCCTGGCCATATATAATAAGTTGGGAAGTACTCCCTTCTCTTCAATTTTTGCAACAGTTTGTATAAAATTGACATATTTCTTCCTTTAATATTTGATAAAATTAATTGGTAAAGCCAGCTGGGTCAGGATTTTTCTTTGTTGGAATGTTTTTGAAAACAATTTCAATTTCTTTGATAGACATAGGGCTATTTAGGTTATCACTTTCTTTTTGAGAAAACTTGGTCATTTGTGTCTTTCAAAGAATGTGTCCATTTCTTTTAAGTTGCCACATTTAATGGGCATAAAATTGTTCATAATATTCCATTTTTATTTCAATATCTATAGAATCTGTGGTAATGCCATTTCTCTCATTCCTGATATTGGTAATTTATATCTTCTCTCTTTTTTTTTTCCCTAATCAGTCTGGTTAGAGGTTTATCAATTTTACCAGTTTTATTGATTGTCTCAAAGTATTGATTTTTCTCTATTCTTTCCTTGGTTTTTGTTTCATTGATTTCCACTTTGACCTTTCTTCTTCCCTTTCATCTGCTTACTTTGAGTTTTATTTGTTCTTTTTCTAGTTTCTTATGGCGGAAGATTGAGATTATTGATTTGACACCTTTCTTCTCATACAGGCATTTAGTGCTATAAATTTTGCCTTACATACTGCTTTAACAACATCCCACAACTTCTGACATCTTGTGTTTTCTTTTTTGTTTTGTTCAAAATACTTTCTAATTTACCCTTTTGTTTTCTGTGATCTGTGTGTTATTTAAAAGTATGTTATTTAGTTCCCAACATCTGACAGTTTTCCAAGGGTTTTTCTGTTATTGATTTCTAGGTTAATTCCATTGTGGTCAAGAACATACTTTGTGTGACTTGAATCATTTAAATGTATTGAGACTTATTTTATGGCTCAGTGTATGGTCTATCTTGATAAGTGTTCCATGTGCAATTGAATGTGTATTCTATTTTTGTTGAGTAGAGTAATGTAGATGAGGCAATCAGTGAATTTATTCTACTACTTGCCCTTTTTGGTCTCTTTTCCTCCCAATTTTTATTAGCTTTGTTGTTAGGACATGCAACATTTATGTTATGTCTTGTTATGCCAGTCTGTATTTTTATTTTAGTCATAATGTTCATCATCAATGCTGTTGCCATAATTGCCCAAGTCATTTCTTGGTTGGCTGAAGTCAATCTTGTAGTAGTTTTCTCAGAAATGGTTCATGAACAGTAGTTCCCTAGTTCTTGTATGTTTGTAACCTTTATACTTAAAGAACAGTTTGATGGATGTAAAAATCACTGGGTTCAACTACTTTTCCTTGAGCATTTTAGGAGAACTAGGAGGTAGCTCTGTTGTCTTCTGGAATTGAATATAAAGTATGAAGCCAGTCTAATTTTTTTTCCATTATAAGTGACTTAATCTTTGTGCCTGGCCACCCAAAGTGTTCTTTATTTCTAAAGTTCAAGAACTGTATTATATCTCGCCACCCAAAGTGTTCTTTATTTCTAAAGTTCAAGAACTGTATTATATCCCAGGGCCCATTTCCCTGGGATACTCTGATCCAGTTCAACATATAGGTTTAATCTTTATTTCAGTATAGTTTTCTTAAATTACATATTGACATATTTACTTTGTGTTGTATGTTCTTACATTGAAATATGTCTAAATTTGCTTATTTTGAACAACCAACTAATTTTAATAGTAAAGGAGGAAAGAAAGAATAATGCATTTTAACATGATCACTTTTCGGTGGAATGAAACATGAAAGCACTTTAGAAAAGAAACTTATAAAATTAAAGGCTTGCTCAGTCTTAGAAAAAAGTAAAGGTTGTTTACTCTAGCAAATCAGACAGGGGAACTGAAATTAAAGATGCTTGAAATGTTATAAAGTTATGTCCTTATCACTCTCATTGAGGGATAATTATTGTATATTTCTTAGGATATTATAGATGCATATACTTTATTGTTCCTTGAGCATATCAGCCAAGTTCTAGCCTCAGGGTCTTTGTACTTCTCAGTTTCTCTGCTTAGAACTCTTTTCTCCTAAATATACACATAATTTCCTCTACTCTTTCAACTGATCATATGGATATATAGAGTTCTATAAAGGGCATGGTCATCAATCAGCCCTGTTCTTACTCTCAAATTATCTAACAATATTTTGTTATTTAGTATTTTATGCATGTGTCTGTTTTCCTGTCTTGTTAAATAACAATCAAAGAGGGATGCAATTAAAGTACTAAAATGAATAGTCTTGGCAAACAGAGATAGCATAGGTAGTGGAGGATGGTAAAATCATCCAGTTAGTAAGACTAGGGTGCTGTGGATTCACTTCCTCTGACAAAGGGTAACTTCTCCATGTATCCTTCTTTCTCCTGGCTTTCTTAATTTTACATTTCTTTTCTCTCTTCTATCAGAAGTAATTCTTCTGTATTTCAAGTGTGTTTATTAATATGAAAACATTTGACTTCATTATTAATCTCTACCAGTTGACATATTATCTCAGAATAACACAGGTGCCTCACTTCTAGCACATTCTACACGGTCAGATTACAAATATGTATTGTAAATCAATGAGAACTGAAACATTAACAGTAATAAAAATTTAAATATCTCATTTATTTTTATATGCTTTGATAGTTGTCAGCAAACTAATACAGCTGTTATTCCAAGTAGTAGCAAAGTGAATAAGTATTGTTTATTGAAAGTTTTTATAATATTGTAGTCATTTATCATATACCATGTTTATTAAAATAATTATTTTGCCTTTCTCCATCCCTCTCATCCCCCATATTTTGATTGTATAGCGGAAGGTTGAGATTTGGTGAGAAATCAGAACATTTGGGTCTTGGTCTGTTACAAATCTCAGCAGTCATAATTGACCTTTGAGATCCTCCCTCTCATCTACTGGAGAAGAGCAATTCACCCCAAACCGTCAGCGGCAGACTTTTAGAATATAGTTCTCCTGATACTTTTCTTCTCTTTTCTGGACTGCTTCTTGAAAAGTATAACTTAAAATGAAAAACAACAACAAAAAATAACACCTATCCTGGAGAGTTGATGCTAGTCCCACAGAAGTTGCCGTGCTCTTTTCCCTGGTCTAAAGAAACTAGCCCTAAACTCACAATTGAAAAATCAAATCTTCTATCACCTTAAAATCACTTTTCCAAAAATCACTTTAATTCTTTGCCTTTTCTTTTTCTTGTAAGTAGACCCAGATATTTTAAACCCTCTCTTTATTTAACACAAATACTCCTAGAGTAGTTACCATTCTTTGGCAGCACGCACTGCCGTTTACTTCCAGGCTGAGCAGTGCCAGGATCACTGACAACTCAGGATGTGAAGAAGAGGCAGAAGGAAATGGGGAGGGGGCAGCTGGTTGCCGTTAAGTGAAAGAGCGCTT